ATGAGCACAGGCACACACCTGGTTTTGCCATACAGGCTGCCATACAGGCTGCGTACGTGACCGGCAGAACCGTTATGGGAGCGCTTACAGCTGCACTTCTCTCCATACGTGGGGAGTTGGTCATTGCTACAACAACAATGAACGTGGCAGTTGCCCAATTCACTGAGACGATTCTGCAAGCTGATGAATTCAGCCGTCTCCCAATATTTCTCTTCATTGCCGATACATACATCACTACAAGAAGGAGCACCGCGGACTCCCGTCGATCTACGTACTATCCTGATGGGCTTGCTTTAATGGTATTCCGACCGTCTGCACCCCCAAGTCTCCTTCGTTACACATGAGGACGACGCGTACTTAAACGATTACTGTTCCGCCCGAGCAGCTATCAAATCTCACCGAAGAGGAGCGGCAGGAGTACCGCATCGCAATAATGTGCAATTTCAAAGCGACGGAGCGAGCAAACGCGATCTTGCTACAACTCCAGTTCCCGACCATCCTCTGTATCACCACTTCGCTGCAATTGAGTTCCACAGGAGAAGGAGGACTTTTCCACGTCCTCCTGTCTTCTTGTCGAATAATTATTGCGCACAAGGGTTCCCAGCTGAGCCCGTGTTCGTCGCAATGGCGACTCATTTCCCACAGGCTCGCCATACGTACCGCTCGAGCCTGGTCCGGGCGGAGTTCTAGGCGACGATAATCGAATATGATGCTAATATTCGTTGCAGGCGGAATTATATTCGGCTGTGGTGGAGGATTGGGGACTCGAGGTGTGCCGCCGTAAACGGAACCCAACATGATGTCCGCCAGGAACTGGGATACGAGATCGAAACCGAAAAATAGGTTGGAGCCTGCTAAGAGTTCAAAGACATGTCCGATCCTAATGGAGGCCAAGTGAGGCGGACACACACGCGTACACAGGCGGTATCGGAGACGCGCCCGTGTTGGATGACGGCGTCACGTAACGGCTGCTGGGAGCGGGTGTCGGCGCAAAGTTCGACGGAGAGGATCCTGGTATCGAAGTCGTATTGGACGAAGGTAATTATAGCTTGTGTCATGGTGGTTCAGTATAGTACCCATACGTCGACGGCACGAGAACGGTTCCAGCCGTTGTCGGAGGCCATTGACGAAGTTCAATTTGCACACGGAGTGGTAGACCCTCGAGATTGGGAGCAAAAGCGATGTATATTTTGGGGCGTGCAATGCGGATATGACGTCCGTAGCTGGTGAACGCGGCGAGTCGCTCGTCGACCCAATTGCGATCTTCCTGGGGCAATCGGATACGGTTAGGGCATGAGAGCTTCGCTGGGATGGGCCGGAAGGAAACGAAGGTTTCTGCCGTGAGTATGCGCTGAGCCTGGACTGAGATTGCTGTGTGCGAGAAACGCATCGAGCAAGAGACATTTGTCCGTGAACTGGCTAAAAGAAGGTCTTCTCGTTCGACTTGGGCAGCGCACCGAGTGCGTGATTTGGAAAGCTCCTAGGAAATCTTCGAATGCTGCGTATACGTGATTTACGGTTTGTCCCCTATCACCTCTACGTGCGACAGCAAGGACCATTCCGAGCGTATTACGCTGGACTGGATTTGGGTGGCGAAGATGAACTCGTCAGTCATGCACACGAACATAGAACGGTACCGTAATCTCCTTTTTCGCGAGTCGTGTATTGTGGAATGTGGGGTTTTG